GCTCCGTGGGAGCCTGCTTCTCCCTCTGCTTCTCTCTCTCTCTCTCTCTGTCTCTCATGAATAAATAAATAAAATCTTAAAAAAAAAAAAAACTTTTAAAAAAGAAACTGTGAGCTCGCGTCTCTTTTTTACCCTGAGTTCCTACTCCACACAGCTTGGCTTTAAAAAAAAAATTAGTGCCGATGGCAGAGACGGCTGGTTGTCTCCATATACCCTTCCTCTTCATCTGCCTTTAAAACAGAGCCTCCCCTTTCCACGTGGTCATAGGGCCACCTGGACAGGAGGCTGCGCTTCTCAGACTTGTACTTAGGTGTGGCCATGTGACCAAGTTCTGACCAATGAGATGCAAGGGTAAGCATCATGTGGATTTCAGGAAGGAGTCTCAAAGGGAAGGGGTGTGCTCTTGCACGCTCTCTCTCAGGCCTGCTGCGCTCCCAACACCCACGAGCTGCGCCATCTTTGTTGCCTGGGCTCATACGATGCCTTCTCTCTGAACGCCCACCTCCCCTTCTCTACCTGGGGACTTCAGGGGTCGCGTCTCAGGCAACAGACACAACATGTCTAAGATTCTGTTGCCACGCCACATCTAGCCTGACCACAGCCTCATGACGGCCCGTCATAACTGTTGACTTGTCTGACCTCCAGAGCAGACAGTGAACCCCTTCTGGGCAGGCACCATGTTTTATTTACCTCAGTGGAGCCAGTGCCCAGAACAGCGCTCAGCACAGGCAGGTGCTCAATCAACTTTCCTTAAGCGCATGGTGAACATCTGGTGGGCGGAGGCTTTAATTTTTGGTGAGCGCGCCATCGTTCCCTTCAAGTCTCAGGAGAGTGAGCATGTGTGGGCACTCAGCGCGTGCTGCCAAAAGCCACCAGGAAGAGTGCACTTAGCAGTCATGTGCTCCAGCTCTGGGAGAGGCCTCACGATGTCGTGACTTATTTTATAGATGGGGACACGGTCCCAGGGAGGGATGGAACCTGCTCAGATGTTCATGCCAGGAAAAACAAAATCCACATCTCTGGACTGGCAGGCCCAGGCTCTCTCCACCAGATCCTGCTGACTTGAAGCTAAATCACCAGCTGAGTGTCAAGGATTTGAGGAGAGGAAATCTGGCTTTGGCCCTGGGTGGGGAGTGTGTGGTCCAGCAGATGAGGATAGATACTGTTTCCCTCTTCTTTTACATCATGATGCCCATCCCGCCAATTCGGCTTTGAGGAAACTACCTGCTCTCAACTGAATACCCTTCGGTGAGAAGACTGATCAGGGTGCCCTGTCCTGCCTGGAATTTGCTCCTTGAGCCGTGTTACTAGGATCCTGGTGAGGTCTGAAGCTGATGCTTGGCAGGCACCTGGAGTAGATTCACTGAAGGCGCCATGTCCTGAAGAGTCCATCCGTTATTCCCTCCCCTCAAGAGCCCGCAGAGCCTTCACTATGGTTCTCCTTCTTCCCAGTCTTGCTTTGCCAAATACAAGCTCCCATGCGTTCCTTTCCTGCTGAAGTGGGCTGTATTTGGTTTCTATTGCTTAAAACCAAAGACTCCTCTATAATACAGTCTTGCTAAACTGAAATTCTACTCTCCCCTGTTTCTTGTCAATTCCTCTAAGTCATCTCTTCTTACCGTATGTTGGTCCCTCGGTGTCCCTTCTTCCTCCCAGAGAGAGAAATTTAGAGAGACGTTGATGGGAGAGATGAGGTCTTGAATGCACACCTGAGGGTGATGAGAATACCACCTCTATTGTGAGTTTAATCTTCCAGTTAAATGCTCACCTGGTTCATACTTCACCAATGATGAGATTCTAGCATCAGGTGTTTATAATATGCCCAGGGTCGCTTCTCAGCCCCAACTCCCATGGCAGACGTTGCTAATCAACCACCCCACTTTTCCCATTGAGTCCTGACCAAAGTCCTTGAGTCTTTGTCAAACCGCTCTAGGCAGCCATTACTGAAGTTTGCACAAGAAAAGAATATTCTAGAATAACTAGAATATCCTAGTTCCTTGAGAACAGGGATGAGTCTTGGCCTTTTATGTTATTACCAGTCCCTCACACTGGCACTTTGTAGGCACCCGAATCATCTTCACCTGAACTCCTTCACCAACCCAAAGAGGCAGGCATTATTATCTCCACATTAGAGATGGGGAACATAAGGTCAACAAAGGTAATCCAAGTTTCCTAAGGCTTAGAGCTAGGAAGTGAGCCCAAATCTGTCCAATTCCAAGTCCAAGGTCTTCCCATCATGACACACTACCTCTCCTCTGGCAAATTTATGTTGAAAATTTCCAAATCATGTGGTGGGTACGGGTGGGGTGCAAGGAAGCAGAGGGGCACTGAATGCAGGTATGAATGAGCTAAGATAATGAGCTCATAACTGTTGACACTGGGTGATGAGTATTTGGGGGTTCACTGAGCTATTTTTTTCTTTTATGTTTGAAATTTCCCCATAACAAAAAATTTAAAACAAACTTCAAAATCTTTTTGTTTTTAGACGGGGGGATGAGGGAGAGGGAGAGGGAGAGGGATAATCTCAAGCAGACTCCATGCCGAGCACGGAGCCCAACACGGGGCTCGATCTCGCGACTCTGAGATCATGACCTGAGCCAAAATCAAGAGTTGGACGCTTAACTGACTGAGCCACCCAGGTGCCCCCGAACTTCAAAATCTTACACACCAATCCCATACCCAGTCTCTTATTAAATATTTAAGGGATCAGAATAATTTACCATCAACCCTACTTTACAAAGGACTGTTAAAAGCAAACTGAATTTGGGCGTCTCAGCAGTTGCTCAAACTGATATTTAAAAAACCTTTTTCTGCGATGGATGTTAATATTAAATGACTATGTGTACCTGGCAAATAAGGACGCACCGCCATGACTGAATATTCTGTACCTATTAAAATACTTATGAAAAGCTGGGTAGCAGCATTAATATATGATGTGTGGAAAAATTAGGGGAAAAAATGGGAAGTACTTTCTAATGGTAACAATGTCAGAAGGCCTACGTCCATAGATTGAGGACTAGAGAAAATATGCTAACGGTATTATTACCACCATTACACAAGGAGATGGTGGTATAGAGAGATACAAGGGCCTTGTGACCCAGCTGGCCGGTGACCGAGCTGAGCCTTGCACCCACTGCGGTCGGCTCCGCCGCCCCCACACTTCCTAGCACAGCCCCAATGGCTCCCTTACCGGGAAGTGGAACCAGAACTTGGTGCAGGTCGGGTCTCCAGTGACCGCTGCGTTCCCGCTGAGTTCATGTCTCCCTCCTGGGAACAGCCCCCGGCTTCTGGTCCGATGGCCATCCAGCTGCAGAGTGTAAGTGAGGTTGGCAACCAGGAGCCCTGGGCAGGGAGAAAAGGCAGAAGGTGAAGGGTGGAGCCACAAGCAGCAGCTCTGGGGAGCGAGGGAATGGCACTGACCTTGAAATTGGAGGGTGAAAGGCTTGACCTGGAAACACACTGTGATGTTAACTCCTTCTTTCTTCTTGTTACTGGTTGAATAGGAGCATTCCACTTCATGCACTGGGATCTCCGCCGGGGAGAAGGATATCTGAGTGAGGACATCCACCACAGGCCGGGCGCTGCGGAGCGGAGAACAACACTTGCCCTGGGCCTCAACTGCACTCCCAGTCAGACTCGGGGCTCCTTCTACCCGCGTCCAGAGGACTCTCCTCCCCGAAAGCAGACCTCAACAGCACTGTCTCCTCGAAACACTAATAATAATGGTAATTCATTAGGGCTTCCCAGTTCCTTCTAGCAGCCCTCTGACCCATTTTCCATACGGAAGAGTGAGCTTTGGGGCGGGGCGGAGGGACAAGGAGAAAGAGACAGAGAATCCCAAGCAGGCTCCACACCCAGGGTGGAGCCTGCCACAGGGCTCCATCTCACGACCCTGAGCTCATGAACCGAATGGAAATCAAGAGTCAGACGATCAACCAACTGAGCCACCCAGGGCCCCCAGAAGAGCGAGCTTTTAGAAAGAGAAATCATGTTGAGCTACTTCTGTGCTTATAATGCTTCACTGATGCCACATGGCCTTCAGAACAAAATCCAAACTTGTTACTATCCGTGTCACACCGCCCGCCTCTCCCATCTTATTTCCTCCCACCCTCTCCCTTGGCTGATGTTCCAGCCAAGGCCGACTTTTGCCTGCCTCATGGCCTCTGCACATCCTGAGCTTTCTACATGGAAGGCTCTTACCCCAGATTTCTGCAAGACTGGTTCCTTCTCCTTTTCTAAGTCCCAGCTCAAATATCACCTCCTCCGAGAGGCCTTTCTCGGCCACCCCATCTAGAGGAGGTCTCACCTACTGTTCCGTCTCACAGAACACTGTTCACTTCCCTCACGGCACTCGCCACGAGTTGTAATCACCTTCCTGTGTGCTTAACTTTTTATTACAGATTTCCCCACATATACACTCTGTACTCAATGCTTGGTCCAGTATTTAAAACCCAGCAGGTGCTTTAGTCTACTCACTGATGTTACACGATGCTTCCAATAACTGGAAGACAGGGGAGAGACAGGAACTGTTGTCACCGTTTCACAAAAATGAGAAACTGAGGACATGAGGAGCTAAGTGACTGGGGTCAGACCACCCAAGAAGTAAATGGTAGAGCTTTGACCTGAATCCAGGTGACCAGGTTCTATTTTTTTTTTTAAGATTTTTATCTATTTATTCATGAGAGACACAGAGAGAGAGTGGAAGAGGCAGAGGGAGAAGCAGACTCCCCGCTGAGCAGGGAGCCCGATGCGGGGCTCGATCCCAGGACCCCGGGATCATGACCTGCGCAGAAGGCAGACGCTTAACGACTGAGCCCCCCAGGTGCCCTAGGTGACCCGGTTCTAGAGCCATCACAGGATGTTGCTTCTCTAGGAGGTTTTAATGTCAGCCAGGCCTGGGTTCAAATCCCAGTCTGTCACTGAACTGTAGCTGTTTAAACCAGAGTAAGACAGGAAGGCTGTGCAGGAAGAGATCAGAGGAGCCCTAGTACAGGGTAGCTGTTCAAAGGACGAGAGAGCTGAGATTATCAACAGTCCCATCTTACCTGAGCACGATCACCTGCCCCTCAGCTCCCACAGCCACATCTGTCAGGCCATCTCCTCCGAGGTCTTTCACCCCATGGATGGAGCGTCCAAACCATTGAATTCCTGAGAACACCTGGGTCCCTTCAATCCGCTGAGACCAAGAGAAAAATTCCTGCTAAGCTAGGGAGAGGACAGCCCGGAGGGCGGGAAGAGTCAGGTGGGGAAGTGGGGTCTGGGCTTGGAGGCTTCTGGGTGCCCGGGAATGGGTTTGGATGGGCAGGCAGGGTGCCTCTCACCTGGCTCGGCCGGGGGCTAAGCCCCCCGTACTGCCCGTTGAAGACGTACACAGCCCCCTGCTCCTCCAGAGGGGCCCCCACCGCCACGTCCGCCAGCGCATCCCCATTGATGTCCGTCAGGGCCGCGATGGCTGCTCCGAATCGCCCAAGCGGGTAGCCAGGGTCCCCCTGCAGCTCTGAGACCACTTCGAACCCCAGCTGGGAAGAAGCAAAGTGACAAGCCCTGCTTCAGGCACTCAGCACGAGTTTGCAGGGGGCGGCACCATGTACATGGAGGACGCTGAAGAAGGGTCAGGTGTGGTCCCTCACAGAATGGGAACGGTGCTGCTGACTGACCTGGGCTCAGGTCCCAGCTCCACCCCTTGCTATCTGGGTGACCTTGGGGCTTTGGAAGGTGACCTGGCCTTGCTGAGCCTCAGTGCTCCCATTTATGAAGGAAAGCTCAGAGTTTCCCAGAAGGTGACTGTGTGAGGACCAGCGGAGGTGTCCTGTAAATAAAAGGTTTGGCCCTGGGCCTTGCGCACAGCCTACCCTCCCTGAGCACAGAGTGTCAGCTCTCGTTTGTCGGTTGCTCTAAAGGTCTGATCCACCATGATCAGACAGGGAAAGCCTTTCAGAATAGTTGGGAGCTGGGTCAGCCTGGGAATCTGTTTCTCCTACCCCCGCATGTCCTGGTCCCCACCTGTTTTTTCTGGTAGATAAACACCCGGCCTCCTCTCTGCTCCCCATAGAACAAGGGGGCTCCGATCAGCAGCAGCTCTGTCTCCCCATCTTGGTCCATGTCAATGCCACACAGCTCGCCACCAAAGTAAGAGCCAATCTGCAGGGAGAGGAAGATGTCTGAGGAAGCCCCGTGAGCTGGACGCCTCCTCCCCCTCCGCTGTACCATGTCCATCTTATTCCATCCCTCAAATGCAGGTGCAAGTCCTGGACCCCCCCGCCTCCGCAGAGCCTGTATGAGTCAGGACAAGGAGGGTGCTCTGAGGTTCTGTTTCTTAAACTGGCAGGTGGAGATGACAAAGCTCAGCTCGAGGGCTCTGTGGGGACTGAATGTGACAGTGCTTGGCACAGGGCCCGCCGCACCGTGAGTGGGTGAGTGCTTGCTGACAGCAGGGAGCATGACCAGTGCCGTACTAGTCCCTGACCTGCAGATGCCCCTGGGGCTGTGCTCACCTGGCTCCCGTCTATCTTCTGGATTTGGTTCCAGTGTCCTCTGTCCTTTGACTTCTGGAACAGCAGCACCCGCCCCACATGCTGGTGTCGGGGGGCTCCAGCGGCCAGCAGGGAAGTGAGCCTTTGGGAGGGCAGCCAGGTCACTGTGTAACCTGAGGGGCGTGGCGGGGGAGAGAGAGAGAGAGAGAGAGAGAGAATGGGAGAGAGGGAGTTCAGGGGCTTGGAATTAGAAGCACAGTGGCGTCTGGAAGAAAATAAAACCCAGGGACAAAAAGGGCAGAGACTCTGGGAAACTGGGTTAGTAGCAGAGATGCACTGAAATAGTCAGAGGACCTTCTCCAGAGAAAAGCAGCCATGTGATCCAAGTGGCACAAATCCCACCATCTTGGTCCAAAACTGCATTTCTCAAACTGTGGCCAACACACAGGCCCAGGAAAAAGCAGCCACGGATGACAGGCTGCCAGTAAACATGGCGCATCTTCCTGAGCCTCAGCTGACCTGAAGGTTGGGAAGGGAGCTACACTATTTAAAAATAATCAAATAACGGGGAGCCCAGGTGGCTCAGTTGGTTGGGCATCTGCCTTCGGCGCAGGTCATGATCCCAGGGTCCTGGGATCCAGCCCTGATTCTTGCGGGGGGGGGGTCCCTGCTCAGCAGGGAGTCCACCTCTCTCTCCCCCCTACTCATGCTCTCCCTGTCTCAAATAAACAAATAAAATCTTTAAAAAAAATAAAGTGAGATATATTCATAAGAAGAATGCAAAATCTGTATGAATATTAAAAATAAAGCAGGAGACTTGAACACATTTTGTTTAGTTATCCCTTCAGGCCACCTTCCTAGTCCACAGCTTGCGTGTGAGCAAGGTTTCTCCCCTGTGAGCATGTTGCAGGGACGTCTGAGGAAATGCAGCAGGAAACCGGACCAGGGACTGTGCTTGAGCCGGGACCCATCCAATAGGAACACTCTGATTCAGGAGACGACTAACTGACCCAATTTCATCTTCTCTGCTTAGAGCAGTTGCAAATGAGTGACAAAAACAGAGCCATCCGAGACGCCACAGCGCAGGAGAAGAAGGGTAGAGAGGCTGAAGCCCTTTCCCATTCATCTGTGTACATTCCTGGAGCACTGGGGTTAGGAACTTGCCCTTTGAAATCAGAGGCGAGGTTTTATTCCTAGTGCTGATGCTTCCCAGCTGTGTGATTGTGGTCAATTACACCACGCACTGAGGCTCAGTTTTCTTATCCAAAAAACGGGATAGTACCAGCCTCATAGGGTGGTTTTGAGGGTTAAAGACGACCGCATATAGAAAATGCTTAGCACTACGCTAGTGACATCTAAACTAAGATTTGAAGGAGAGTAGCACCACGGGCACCCGGAATTGATTTTACTTATTTATTTATTTATTTTAGCAGGAGTTGAAATGTTTCTTTTTTTCTTTTCTTCTTATTGAAGTATAGTTGACACAAGGTGATGTATGTACAATCATATATCTATATGTACACATATAATATGTACATGCATATATAACCATATCCAGATATACACATATACATGCATTGTGTATGTGTGTGTCTAGTGGGACAGGCGCCTAACTAGAAATTAAACTATAGGCTATTTCTTCTTGAAAGAGCAGTGTTGCTGGCTAGCTCGCAGGATACTGGGGGACACAAAGCTCCTTGAAGGGTTAGGGTTAGGAACTGTAGTGTAAGTGTAGTGCTTACTAGCACAGACTTTGGGGCTACACTACTGGGCTCCACCTACTTGTTCTGTGACCCTGGGCAAGTTATTTAAACTCTCCTGGGCTCAGTTCCTTCATCTATAAAATAGAAGTAATAGGGGTGCCTGGGTGGTACTCTTGATTTCGGCTCAGGTCATGATCTTGGGGTCCTGGGATCGAGCCCCGCGTCAGGCTCCATGCTCAGCCGGGAGTCAGCTTGGGATTCTCTCTCTCCCTCTGCCCCTCCCCCCACTTGTTGGCTCTCAAATGCGTGCACTCTCTCTCTCTCAAATAAAAATATAAAATCTTAAAAAAAAAGAGTAGGTAATAAAAATGCCTACTTACAGGGTTACTGTAAGAATAAAATGAGATAAAATAAGATAAAATCTGTCAATACATGTCGTGCACCAGTGCCTGGCACATAATACTTAGTAAAGAATGTCAAAAGAGAGAGAGAGAGAAAATCGTGGAGGGTAGCCTTCCTTAGAAGGGTAGATGCAAGATGAATGGCACCAATTTTGCCAAGGTAATTATGTAAGGGAGTCTTTGTGCTCTGCGAGTTTAATAAAGACATGGCCCACCCCTATACAGGGGTCATGCATGAGGCCGGGTGAGGGGGTTTCTGGGTAGATCCTGGAAGCAGTCCTACCCCAGGGCTCTTGAAGCCAGTCTGTGCCTTGACACAGGTTGACTATATGAGCATGAACTGGAAGAGCTATAACCTCTGTGCACAAGAGTGAGGCCTCTCTGTGCCTGAGACTGGCATCCCCTGGGTAGACTGGCAGCCCAGAACTGTGCGGGACAAGCTCTCAACAGCGACACCATAAGGCAGAGAGAAGCAACTGCAACTGTGGACAGACCAGGTGCCTCTGCTCTGCGCTTGGCATCTGAAGATCTCTTGAGGTGAATCAACCTCAGAGTTCATGGACAATTCTAGAGGAGGAAGCCTCAAGGAGGAACTGCTGGTCCCCCTGCTAATAAGGCAGGCTGCTATAAAATGGACCCAGGATTTAATTTATGGGTAAGACCTAGAGAGGTCTCTGGGTAGGCAAGCTTGAGCAAGCTTAGGATGGGACAGTTTGAATAATGCTGGTTGGCACTGGTCTACAAGGGTGGTCCTTAGCTAACTAGATATTTAGGTCTGGGGGAATACTGGCTTGGTGTGTGAAAGTTAGGTAAAGGAGGTGGCTGGGGATATGGGCTCAGGGTTGGCTGGTTGGCATGTGGAAGGCCTGCTCACAGTCCCCTTCTTCACTATCTGTAGGAATTAGCTAGCCCTGGGAGGGGCAGTGTCTTTGGGATTCGCAAGGCCTCAAGATGTCCAAGGATCATAAAATACAGAAAGTAAAAGCATGATTACTACACAGCAGAGGGGTTATTAAGGGAAAAATTAAGAATGTTGTAGCCATATTTAAATTCTGAGTTTGTTCATGCTGGTTGCTTAACTGCTTTCATTATTGTTTTGAAAGTCAGTCTGAGTGACCCTGGCCCCTCAGACCAAAAAAACGCAGCAGAAAAGAAAAGTACTCACCCAAATATCCTGCCCTAGCTTCTGGTGTCAGTGGTTCATTCCCAACAAATCTATCATCCTGCAGGTCTGCCTCCAGGTCTAGAAAGCCCCCAGCCCAGTCCTTGGCTCCGACAGCCCCCACGATGCCATGGCCCTGCTCAGGGAGGAGATAAGCATGTTTGGTCACGTGTCCACAACATCCCGAAGCCCCCCCTTTCCCCCCCTGCCGCTTCAGGCCTGCCACTCACGTGGCTGAGGTCAGCGCTGATCCCACTGGAGGACAGCTCCATGTTGAAGGATGTCAGGTCCTGTTTGCTTGTGCCTGAGGGACCAGGTAAAGAAAATGGGTGGACACTCAAGAAAGGACCGAGGGTGCCTGGGTGGCTCAGTTGGTTGGGCGACTGCCTTTGGCTCAGGTCATGATCCTGGAGTCCCGGGATCGAGTCCCATGTCGGGCTCCCTGCTCAGCAGGGAGTCTGCTTCTCCCTCTGACCCTCTTCCCTCTCGTGCTCTCTATCTCTCATTCTCTCTCTCTCAAATAAATAAATAAATCTTTAAAAAAAAAAAAAAAAAGGACCGAGAAAGAAGCATGGCACCGGCCTTTGGGCAAGGTAGAAAGAGCCCACCCGACAGTTAGACTGGGCCGTGATGTGGGCTGAGTCTGATGTGAACTCGGCCAGGATGTAGCTCTGTGGTTCTGTCCCACTCAGGCTTCCCCGCCGCGTCAGCAAATCGGGATGTTCTACATTTGAAATGCATCTGTCCCCTTCTCTGAAGAGCGTGTTTGCCGCCACATGGGCCCGGCCATCCTCCTCTCTTGCCTGACAACCGTGCTCACTTACTCATTTGGTCCCTGACTTCGTTCTTCCTCTTGTCGTGTCTTTTTTCCACAGAGCAAGCTGGAGTAATCTTTTTTAAAAATGTCTATCAGACCACATGTTTCCCTTTCTTAAAAACCCTTCATCCCTTGCCATCGCTCTTAGAATTAAAACCCCAGGGGCTTATGAGGAAGGCCCCTGACTATCTCTCCCCTGTTGTCTCACTCGCTCACCACACCCCTGTCACGCTGACCTTTTTTCCGTTCCTCTAGCTTGCCCGCCCTTCCCCACCTCCGGCCCCTGCGCTGGCTCTTCTCTGACTTAAAGGCCTGCCCACATTCCTCATGTGGCTGTTTGATTCTCATCTTTCGTGTCTCAGCTCAAATGTCATCTCAGAGTGAATTCTACCTCCATCGAAAAATAAAGCATCTAGAAAGGCCTTCCTTGAAGAGCCTATCTAAAGTGGCTTCCCCCAGTGAAATCTTTCTATCCAGTTTATTTATTTTCTTTACAGCACATATCATAATCTCTAATTATCCTGTTTGTTTGTTTTCTGTCTTTCTTTATCCAGCCTGAATATGAGCTTCATGTTGACAATATCCCCTAGTGCCTTATTCACGTATACCTGGGACCTGGTTAGTGCGAGCCTGAATTAATAAAATGAAAATCATCCCACCAGCCTTGCAAAGCTTCTGAGAGGAATGAATTAAATGATACAGAAAAAGTGCCTGTTACCTGGCAAGCTTTCAAGGAACACAGCAATTACCATGAAGATTTTGTTCATTCCTGCATAAATATTTAGAGCAACTAGACTTTTGGTGCCAGGGATACAATGGTGAAAAAGCAGACACATTGCTTGCCGTGACAGAACCCCCCCCCTTGTGGTGTGGGGGACAGACACGGAGCACATAATTTAACACAACGTAAGCCTCAGGGGCTCTGATAAGGAACATACAGCCGTTACAGCAGCACCCGGAAAGAAGCCCCCAACCCAGACTCGGGTTCCGCGAGAACTTATCAGAAGAAATGACATCTAAGATACAATCTGAAGCATGACTAAGGGCAGGTCAGGATAGACGATCCGAGCCAGAGATAACCAGCTCTGCGATGTACAGAGGGCCTACAAAGTACCAAGCACTCTGCCAAGCAGGGGTTAGGGCTTGAATTGTGTTCTCTAAAAAAAAGATATTTTCAGGACCTAAGCCCTAGTACTTGAGAATATGACCTTGTTTGGAAATAGGATCTTTGCAGTGTAATCGAGTTAAAATGAGGTCACTGGGGTGGGCCTCGATCCAATACGATCCAATATTTTCTAGTGTCCTATGACAGAGGGAAATGTGGACACAGAGAGAAGGGGATATGAGGACAGGATATGACGCAGGGAGAAGACAGCCAGATGACGGAAGTGTTGCAGCCACAAGCCAAGGGATGCCGGGGACTGCTGCAGACACCAGAAGTTAGAAGGGGCGAGGACGCGTTCTCTCCTAGACCCGTCAGATAGAACATGCCCCAGCCCACCCCTTGATCTCTGACTTCTGGCCTCCCGAACTGTGAGACAATGAATTTCCATTGCTTTAAGCTGCTCAGTTTTTGGTACTTCGTTACAACAGCCCTAGGAAACCAATACAACAGTCAAACCTCCCAGGGCTGTGAGATTGGTATTATTAGCCCCATTTAGCAGAGAACAGCGAGCCTCAGAGAGAGAAAGTGACCTGGTGGAGGTCACACAGCGTGGGCAGAGTGGATTCCTGAGTGGTCTACCCAGTCCCATTATATATACCACATTGCTTCTTCAACTGAACCAAACACCAAGCCTGAGTGCTAGCAAAGGGGCCTTCCCAGAGGGAATCACTTAGCTTTCAGCAGACCGGGATTCCTGGGGAAATACCCTCTATCCTGCGACTGCAGTCCAAACCTTCTCGTATTCCGGGCCAAGAGGGCCTGTGGGCTCCCTGCACTCGGGCCCTGCCCACCTGTCCACCTTAAGTAAGCTGAGGACAAGGGAACATGAGGGAGCTGAGTGGGGGGAGGAATTCTACTCCTTCCACGGGCCTCGGTTGACACCAGCAAGCTAAAGGTCAGTTCTGGGCCCCATCCTCGACCCACCTGAGCTTTACGAGGAAGATGGAATTTCAGAGAGAAACAGAGGCTCCTCCTCAAGCGCCCTCCCCCAAATTCCCACCTGAGGCCCTTTCCCAGGAGAGTGCTTCACACGGTGGCAGATACTCTGTAAGTGTCCTTTATTATCACCCAGCATGTCTCTAGTCTTATTGTCCCAGATGAACTCCTGTAAACAACTTCCCAAACTCTCCCTCCCCAGGTCTGCCACTCACCCTCTATGACATAGATCTTCTTTTGCAGCTCAGTGAACAGATCTTTAAGCTTCTCAAACTTGTCCAAAATCTTGACAAAATCCTTCGCAGGTTTTGAGGCAAATTCGTGGAGCCTTTCCTGACTTTCCTTGGTTGCAAAATGCTTTCCAATCTGTGAGGGAGTAAAGACTGGAGAGTTGGCATCCCCAGACTTGCAGAGAAGGCCCTGGCCCCAAGGAGAAAGCGGAGGGAGGCTCAGGAACAGGAGAGGGAAGATGGGACTTGGGAAGCAGCCAGGACCCAGGGCCCGTACCCCAATGATGTAGCGGATGATGTCTTTGGCTGAGTCAATGTTGACGTGGTCCGTGGCTTCCCCATCAGTGATGATGATAAGCACTTTGGTGGCATCTGGCCGGGCCCCCAGGTCTTGCCGGAACACCTCTGTCCTGTGTCCAGGAAGGGGTGTATGTGAAAGACCCCCCAAATCATGAGGTCTCCCCCCACTCACCCAGCTCATTAAGTCACTGTCCTGTTGATTATGCAGAAGCCCTTCTCCCATCCCCCAGGCAGGTATCCCCAGTCTTCCAAGTTCTCTTCTGAACCTCCTCCCTCACCCTGGCTGCCACACCTCTGCTTCCAGACCGGTGGTCTTCGAAGGAATTCTGGGTGGCCAGGAGCCCATGGGCAGTGATGCGGAGGCTTTCTCAGGAGAGACCGTGGGCTTCCTACTCTCCATTCCTACTCTCCAGTTCAACCACATGACAGCTACCCTTTTAGCGGTTAGACATGCTGGGGATCCAGGTGAGATTTCAGTATGGAAAATGGGCTCCACGGCTGGAGAAAATGGGGAAGTCACGCTTCCAGAGCAAGCTCATCTGGCAACCCCCCACCATCGATGGCAGGCTGCCTGTAGATCTCTGCTACAGCAAGTTTCCTCGGGAATCGAAGTCACCTGTTTCCGTTTCTGTGTTCCCCAAACCATGAGTTCCTCAAGGAAGGAACATGTCTGATTTGCTGCTGTGTTTCTGGCTCCTGACACAGCAGGTGCTCAGCGCACGTGACATAAAAGGAAGAAGGGAGTCCTGAATACTGGATAGGCCAACGCTCCAAAGTCCCACCTGCCCACAGCCTCCTTCTGGAGCAAGGCAGGGTGCCCACAGCTTCTGTTGGGACAGGAGCTCTCTTTGCACCATCTGATCCTTCCGTCCCCACCCCACAGCTAACCAGAGACAGTCGATTAATCCAAGAGCAGCCAGTCTACAACCCCTGACTTATGACATGACTTGCCTTGGAAGGGGAAGCAGAAAGTCACACAGGGGGTGGGGGGGAGGGGGTGGCGCACAACGGCAGGTGGGGGAGAGATGCAGAGGGGGGAACCTCAGGACAGAGGAGCTCTGATAGGGGTGGGGCCGAGACCTCTGTTCCATCTTGGATGCAAATCATTTCCCCAGCCTCCGTCCACACAGACACGGCCTCTCATGGCTCCTGTTCATGGATTTCCACCCTGTTTAAACCGCCATTACTTCTCATCTCTATTTTTCAACAGCCTCCTTCCTGGCCTCCCTGATCCCACCCCTGTTCCCTCCACAACCTAATAGCCCCGCAGCCAGAGGGATCCTTTTTTTAAAAAAATATTTTATTTATTTATTTGAGAGAGAGAGCGAGAGAGCACGATCGGGGGAGGGGCAGAGGGAGAAGCAGGCTCCCTGTGGAGCAGGGAGCCCGAAGGAGGACTCAATCCCAGGACCCCGGGATCATGACCTGAGTGAAGGCAGATGCTTAACCGACTGAGCCACCCAGGTGCCCCGGAGTGATCCTTTTAAAAACATAAATCAGGGGCGCCTGGGTGGCTCAGTCGTTAAGCGTCTGCCTTTGGCTCAGGTCATGGTCCCAGGGTCCTGGGATCGAGCCCCGCATTGGGCTCCCTGCTCGGCGGGAAGCCTGCTTCTCCCTCTCCCACTCCTCCCCCCTTCTTGTGTTCCCTCTCTGGCTGTGTCTCTCTCTGTCAAATAAATAAATAAAATCTTTAAAAAAAAACCAAAAACACATAAATCAGGGGCGCCTGGGTGGCTCAGTCGTTAAGCGTTTGCCTTCAGCTCAGGTCATGATCCCAGGGTCCTGGGATGGAGTCCCACATCGGGCTCCCTGCTCCGCGGGAAGCCTGCTTCTCCCTCTCCCACTCTCCCTGCTTGGGTCCCCTCTCTCGCTATGTCTCTCTCTGTCAAATAAATAAATAAAATCTTTAAAAAAAATAAAAACATAAAAACATAAATCATATGATCACTCCTCTGCTCAAAACCTCCAATGACTTCTCATCTCACTCTGAGGAAAAGCCAAAGTCCTCGCTAAGGCCTCCAAGGCCCTAAGTGCTCCGGACTCCCCTGTCTCTCTGACCTCATCTCCTACTACTTTCGCCCTCACTTACTTCTCTCCAGTCACACTGGTGTCCTAGCTCTTCTTCGAATGTCCCAAGCATGTTCTCATTTCAGGGCCTTTGCTATTCCCTCTGCCTGGAATGGTCTTCCCCAGTATGGGCATGGCTGCTTCCTCACCTCCAACGAGTCTTTGCTCAAATGTAACCTTCCCTCATCTTCCTACTGAATACTGCTTTCTTTTTCCTTATAAAACTTACATCTTCTACCATATTATCTAATTTACAAACTGGTCCTGTCTATTGTGTTTCTCTCCCCTAATATAATGTTAAACCTCAAGAGGGTAGAGATTTTTGTTTCATTCACTGCTATATCCCCAGAACCTAGAACATGGCAAACAACCCACAGGCCAAAGCCAGCCCACAGCTTCCTTCTGTATGGTCCATGGGCTAAAAATAGTTTTTATAGTTTTGTTTTTAAACAGTTACAAAAATGAAGAACATGCAAGAGAGACAGTATGTGGCCAGAAAAGCCTAAAATGTACCATCTGACCCTTTACAGAAAAAAATCAGCCCCCTCCTGACCTGTAATACTGCCTAGCACACAGGTAGTCAAGAAGTATTCATAAAATATATTTCTATGATGCTATGATGATGAGGCAGGGATTAAGGTCATACCACAGGCGTGGACATGACTGGATTCCCAACAGCTACCCTGCTGGACTATCATGGAAGAAAGTCCCAGAATGAAGCATTTTTTCAGTGACTGTGATGACAGAAGCCCACCATAAATATGATCACTCTGAGGCCACAGGATCCTCAAGCTGGGATTTCCAGAATTCTTTCAGAAGGGAGAAACTGGAACAAAAGTCCCCAGATTCTAAGACACTACAGGAAGATTCACCTGGAGTGAGACAGAGAGTCTATGAGTATCAGGAATATGGAAAATCCTTCAGGCAAAAAGGTAGTCTAAACTTGCATGAGAGAATCCACACTAGTCCGAAGCCCTTTGAGTGTCCTCATTGGGGAAAAAGCTTTGGGGCCAAAGGCAATCTTGTTACACATCAGCAAATACACACACGAGAGAAGCCCTATCAGTGCAAGGAGTGTGAGAAAAGCTTTAGTCGATGAGGTAGTCTGGCCGTTCGTGAAAGACCCCACACTGGAAAGAAACCCTATGAGTGTGCTGTTTCTCAGAGAAGCTTCAGGAATCAATGTAACCTTGCTGTTCGTAGAAGAGCTCATAGCGGTGAAAAGCCCTATAGATATGATCAGTGTGGAAAAGCCTTCAGTCAGAAAGGAAGCTGAATTGTTCACGTCAGAGTCCACACAAGCCTGAAACACAGTGTAGGAAGAGTTTTCACACCAGGGGGGAACTGTATCCTGCAAGGCAAAATCCACACAGGAGAGACACCCTATCTATGTGGCCCGTGTGGGAAAAGCTTCACTCAGAGGGTGTTTGGCTGTGCACCAGTGAAGCTGCTCACAAAGACTCACCCTTTGATCACTCTCTTCAAAAGAAGTTCTCTTTATGAATGAAAAGTACAAAATCCTCAGATCAAGCAACCTATCCAATTCTATGGAATGAATGGAGACTCAGACAGACCATTTTTGAGTAGGACAAACTGATTTTTCTCCTTTCCCCCAAATGAGTATGAAAAGTAAATGTCTTGTTTATAATCCTTAACAAAAAAAAAAATCAAATAAAATATACAATATGGCCCTTCAACACAATCTAACTGCATTTATCTAGGCCTCAATTTAAACACAGCCACCTGGTCCAATTCTGGGGGAAGAAACTTCTAATCTAAAGTAGATTTAGGAAATCAGGATATGCTAGCTTCCAATATGGGACTCGAGTATATTGAATTTTATGAACAATTCAAGGAATTTTTCAAGGAGAATTTTGACTAGTAGAGATTTTTGTTCACACTCTGACTTCAAGAGCTGATCCCCAACTCAGATGTGACTCAGTCATGGCTTCCATGTTCACAATCACTTTCCAAGTCTTGGCTCTAGTTTCTCATGAGGTTTGGCATTACTCCCTGTCCCAAAGGCTCATGAGCTATCCCTGAATCCTCCAAAGAATTGCCCTTGAGGATTTAGTTATTTATAATTAAAAGATTTCTGTTACTTATAATTAAAAGAAACTGGACTGCGGAGCCTGGGTGACTCAGTTGGTTAAGCATCTGCCTTCAGCTCAGGTCATGATCCCAGGGTCCTGGGATCAATTCCCCCATCAGGCTCCCTGCTCAGCGGGGAGTCTGCTTCTCCCTCCCCCTCTGCCCCTCCCCCTGCTCATGCTCTCTCTCTCTCTCTCAAATAAATAAATAAATAATCTTTTTTAAAAATTAAAAAAACAGTAAAAGAAACTGGACTAAAATTGCTCCACTTGAATTCCTACAATAACCTGCCCCTTGCTGAGCCCACCTGTTGAGTTCCTATACCCTGAAACCTGAAGAAGCCAGTGCAACTGACGGGTGGGCTGTCTCCTACAAAAGGGGACTCACGCGACGTAGTTGATGGCACCAAAGGTGTTGGTCAACTGGCGCATGTGTTCTACTTTGCCCAGCAGAACATCAGGGTTCTTCACCTTAACATATTTCAAGAAATTAAATTCTGTTTTGCAGTCCGTGGAAAACTGAACAGCAGCAAACTAGAAAAAGAAGCAAGAAATGAAACATCATTACATATCCCTTCCTACTTGTCTGCTCCAATCTATTTCCTTTTTTTTAACTTTATTTTTAAGTAATCTCTACACCCAACATGGGGCTCTAACTCATAACCCCAAGATCAAGAGTTGCACGCTCTTCCAGCTGAGCGAGCCAGGTGCCCCTTCCAGTCTATTTCTTATCTGGGACCTGGGTAACCCAACCCCACATCCCTGCCTCAAAGCATTCTTTTGAAAATGAGGTAATATATACACAAACACAGAAATACAATTAAATAAATCTCTGATCCCTTATGTAGTGCTGTCTGCTGAACTCCTGTCCTCTGGGTCGGCCTGCCTTCCCAGTGGGGATAGTTCTGCTGAGTGACCCTGCTAAGCTGGATACAGCTGGTTGGGCCACAGATGGCCACTTTGCTGAGGTTAGCCCAGTCAGAATCTATCCTCCAAGAATTTGGAATTTGCAGAGGGAGGGGTTGGTGGAGAGGACAAAAGACCCTCCTGAAACTTTAACATGTGAACTGAGGAGCTTTCCACAGGCCCATGTGATCCAAAGAAGTTGTGGGAGTCAGTTTGTGGAGAGAGAAGAGGGAAGCAAAAGCCAAAAAGAAACAGAAATGAGAACTAAAGAGAATCCCAGACACTTTCCACTTCCTAGTTCTTGTCTCTTCCAGAGGTCCAGTCCAACTGTGCCTTTAGGTTTTGGAGACACCTCATACTAAATTTTTCTTTTATGCCTTAAGCTAGCTCAAGTAGGCATCTACTGCCTACAAACAGGAAAACTAATATATTTACCTGGTAGGAAGAGTTGCTGAGCTTCTTCATCACATCCTTCATGAAGTCCAGAATTTTCTGAAATTCATCTGGCTGCAAGCTCATTGAACCATCAAACAGAAATACCAAGTCCACGTTGCCCTTTATACATTCTACAGACCCCAGACACAAAGGGAGTTGGTGAAGTGTCTCCACGGATTGGCCTGCCCATACTGTTTCCTTGCATGGGCAGCTCCCTGGGAGAAATTTTTACCCCCTGGATCCCCAGCTCCTTACCCTGATAACCAGGGCGCCCTTGCAGCACAGGACCCCTCAGATTCTGGTGGAAAAGGTAACACAGGCCACTTAGGTAGACATTCTGGTCACACATACGAGACAGCCCAGGATCACAGGCCTGAAGGAAGCAAAGGTTAAAAAGGGGGGGGGGGTTGGGGCTTCTAACTGTGTGTCTTCTGGGCATCATCAGCCAAGAAAAAGAACCTTCAGGGTCACCATCCCCTGACCTCACTCCCTACATCCAACTGGTGATCAAGGCAAGGTAATTCTGCCTCCAGGTCTTACAGCCACCTCTCCCTCCCTCCTACCAAAGCTGTGTGCAAGTGAATGCTCACTGCCTATAAGATAGAGTCTAAACTCCTGAGTTTGGCATTCATACTGTTTACATTTGGGCATTCTCCTACATTTCCAGGTCTATCCCCTTTAATTCCCAATCACACCTTCTGTGTTTAAGCCAGATCACTCACTATCCCCAGAATATACAATGTTGTTTCTTTCATTTATGACTATCTTTCCTGCCAGACTGCAATTTCTGGAAAGTCAGGGCTCATGTCATCTTTGTATCTCACTCCTCTGACCCCATCGGAGCCTAGCACATTGGCTGGCATGTAATAGGAGCTAAGTAAACAAGCTCCCAGTAAATGCTGGCTAAATATTTCACTCAGCCAGCCTTCTATCTCTATATACCTGTGTCAGAAGATGCTGCTGGGATAAACTGTAAAGATCAATGGGCTTAGAATCAAATGGGAATTTAATTCAAATCCTGGCTTTGCCTCTTTAAAACCATGTGACCTTGGCTAACTCTCTTAACCCCTTGAGTCTTGTTTCTTCATGTGTAAATGTGTATACTGATCCCTGTCTCCCCCGAGTGTCTTGAAGGTTAAAAGAGAGAAAGCAGTGTTTCCCAAACTTTAGGCATTTGTGCACCACTTCACAATTTCAGCCATGTGGGCATATCATGCAGACTATTATTTGTTTAATATTTTACTTTAAATTTACTTTTTATTTAAACTTTAGCCTTATCCCAAGCAATTCGATCCAAGAAATCATGAATTTGATGTGTTGTATATTTTCCCTAATAAACCATTAAATAAAAATATAACTACAAAACATTAAAAGTTTTTGTACCACCAAAATAATCTTTGTATATCCATGGCCACATTTCATATTTGGAAAAAACCGACATAAGTAAGGTCTCGAAACTAGCTGGCTCATACTCAGTTCTTAATAAACCCTGATTGAATCAGAATCTCTCTGATGCCTGTAATCTTCTATAGGATCTTTACTCCACTGTTTCCTTCCTTCTTTTCAATCTGTCTTTCTTAGCATCAACTGATATCACACTACACAAGATTCTTACCAAAAGATTTCCACTTGTGGAGTCTGTCGCCAAGGTCATCCCCAAGTACTTGGAGGTATAGTTGGAACCTGTAGGCACCAGGAGATTGGTCTGGAGGAACTTAGGTAACTCAGGTGTGGCACGGCCAGCCTCAACTTCCCTGGGACACCATTCCTCCCAGGCCCCTCACCAGTTACTCACCACTCAGGCTGACTGGAAGGCAGTGGCCAGTGTCTGGCTGGCACTGATAGAGGTTTCCCGTGCTGTTCCCCTCACCTGGAGCTCCCACGATAACCCTGATGAGAAATCTCACCTGTGAGACGGAGTTGTCCCGTCTTTACCCACCCACTCCTACCCATTAGGAGGGTTCAGATCCACAGGTATCTCAAAGCAATGCAGCCAGTCCCTTTCAGGGAGGCTCCTCAGCCCCTACCTCTTCCCTATTGAATACCTCAAACTTCTAGAAAGTTAAGGATCTTTTCCATTTATAGTCTAGGAAAACTGAGGTCCAGAGAATGAGGTGCCAGAATGTCACATTATGAGTTCATTCAATCAGTCATCAATTCAAAGTCATTTATGGGGGTGCCTAGATGGTTCAGCTGGTTAAGCATCTGCCTCCAGCTCAGGTCATGGTCCCGGGGTCCTGGGATCAAGCCTGTGTTGGGCTCCCTGCTCAGTGGGTTGTCTGCTTTTCCCTCTCCCTATGCACCTCCTCCCTGCCCATGCTCTCACTGTCTCTCTCAAATAAATAAATGAATAAAACCTTTTAAAAAAGTCATTTATGGCATATCTACTATGTGCTAGGCTGGGGCATGTACTAGGGCTGAGGGGGAAAATCCTTGCCATCAAGGCTCTCACTGTCTAGTCAGAGCACCAGTGGGGAATCTAGAAGTGCTGCAACGCCCTTTTGGGGCTGTGACATTTCCCCTTTTTTCAGGCACTCGTGTGGAGGTTTAACCATGGACTGTCCTCGTCCTACTATCTGATGGCCTCGCTCCTATTTCCGAGAAACTCCCTGCCGGTTCCCCGGATCTGGCCCACCCGGGGCTGGTGGCCTGGTCGCCTGGTCGCCCGTCCTGGCTCTGCGGGGCAGGGAGGGCCCGGGGCGGCAGCTCACCTGTCTCCAACCTGCAGGACGCGGTACCCAAAATGCCTCCCAGCGAGTGGGAAGGAGAAGTTTTGCACGTGCCGCACTTCCAAGTTGTAGCCTGAGGCGGGGGCTGAGGGAGACCAGGGGGTGAGGTCAGCCGCTTCCGGCTGGCCTGTCCCCGCACGTGCCCCCAGAGCGGCGAGCGCTGATTGGCCGCCGCCCACGTGCCCCCAGTGGGCGGCCCACCCACAGAGACGCGGCTCCCTACTCCGGCAGGCGGCCAGCACAAGAGGCAGAGCGGGACCTTCCCCCTTGGGCTTCCCCTTTCAGGGCCTTGACTCCGGGGAAATCTGGAAACAGCGAAGCCTTACTACCCAGAGCCCGCTTGACCCCAGCAAAGAAGGAAGGATGAGAAGGCGGAGGTCTGGGAGAAAGAGGCAGATGGAAGGGCCCCCAGGCGATGGGGTTGCCCCATGGCAGGGTTCGCCTCCCTACACACCCACTTCTCCCTTGGGCCTGAGACCCAAGATAATTAGCCTCAGGCTTCTGCCCACAGACTCATGGTTTCAGGATCCCCTGGTCTCTGTGAAACTGCTTCTCATCTAACGCTCCCTTACTGCCCGCCCTACCATGCACCAGTCTCTTCCTTCTGTTAGCTCTCAGATGCCCCCATGTCAGCCCCACCTCAAGCAGCCTATGCATCCTCTGCAAGTCCCTAACTGTCTTTTCTGGCTCTGCTTTCCTTCCAGGCATCAGGCTTCTTTCCGCCCCATCCTAGGATGGCAGAGAAGCTGCCCCGCCATTTGTTCGGACGAATGGACTGAAGCGCAGAAAGGGGAAAGGGCTGAGATGGTGGTACACGGTCCTACCACGGGCAGGACCAGAACCCAGCGACAGCTCCAGGTACCCATTAGCCATCTGCCTCCTTTTAAGACCCCACTCCGCTTCTCTGTTGCCACCTGTATCTCCCTTCTCTGTCTTTCCCTCCAGACCTTGACTCGACTTTAGACTCTGACTTTCTTTCCTTTCCCCCTTCTCCCTCCAAGATTCCTGAGCCTCACGGTCACCTATGGCCAATCCCACCCTCCAGCAGCTGCTCATTTACTCCGGTTCCACAAAGCCCTGCAGTCTCCCTGGCCACCGACACAGTCCCTTCCCTTCCCGTCCCCTTTTCCCTTGCCTACCAAAGAGAAAAGGCCCAGACAGCAGGAGCCTCATTACGATGATGCAGGAGTTCATCTTTCCAGCAGCTGGAGGGACCTAATCCAACACTCCAGGCTCAGAGAGCCCTGGGGATTTGCTGGCAACCCAGACAGGGTGAAAGAAGGAAATGATAATGCCCCAGGGCCTCTTACAGTGGGACTTTCTCACAGAGGCGCCAGGCTGGTGACACTGGGTGGGGGTGAGCCTGTAGGGGTTGTGAAACCGCATTGGTTGAGAGGAAGTATAAGCAGGTTAGAGACACTTCCTGTGCCCGCTTGCATTTTCACATCATCCAGGAGCAGACAACACAGTAGGTAGATGACTGTCTCTCCAGTCCAACAGTTGCTGATGCCTTGTCTTTCACCAACACACAAACTGAAGACTCTGTAAAGCTCAGCAGAAGACTGGTCAAATCATAATGGAATGCCACCAAAAAAAAAAAAAAAAAAAAAAAGAGAGAGAGAAAGGAAGGAAAAAAATAACATAGGAAAAAGAATGACATAGTTTTCTCTTGACATTGAAAGAGGCCCATAATACAGATGAAGAAAAAGAACAAATTACAGACAGTTTATTTAGTAACTTATTTTTATTCAAAAAAACAGAAAAAAAATATCCACAGAATGGGAGAAAATATTTGCAAATCTTATATCTGCTATGGGACTTGCCTCCAGAATATACAACGAACTCTCGTAACTCAAAGTAAAAAGACAAATTGACCCAGCTTTTCAAATGGGCAAAGAATTTAACTAAACATTTCTTCAAAGATGATATGTAAGATTTTATTTATTTTAGAGAGAGAGAGCGTGCGTGCGCGTGCAACTGCGGGGGAGGGGCTGAGGGACAAGTAGTCTCTCCGCTGCCTGCAGAGCCTGACACAGGGCTCGATCCCAGGACACCAGGGTCATGACCCGAGCCAAAACCAGGAGTCAGATGTTTAACTGACTGAGCCGTCCAGGCGCCCCTGAGGATGACATGTAAACAGCCACTCATATAGAAAAGATGTTCAGTATCGTTAGTCCTTAGGGAAATGCAAATCAAAAACCAAAATAAGATACCACTTCACACTCATGGGGATGGCTAGAATAAGAAAGAAAGAAAATAACATGTATTGATGAGGGTGTGGAGAAATTGGAGCCCTTGTACGTTGCCAGTAAAATGGTGCTGCTGCTGTGTGAAACAGTTTGACAGTTTCTCAAAGAAAAGTTAAACATAGAGTTACCATATGACCTAGCAATTCTAAAAGAACGGAGAATGTATGTTCATACAAAAATGTATACATGGATACTCACAGCAGCATTATTCATATTAGCCCCAAACTGGAAAAAAATGTAAATGTCTATCAACTGATGAATAGATCAAAAAAATGTGGTCTATCCACAGGATGGAGTATTATTCAACTGTAAAAAGGAATGAAGCACGGATCCGTGCCACAATGTGGAAGAACCTTGAAAACATGCTAAGTGAAAGAAGCCAGGTACTAAAGGACACATATTGTGTGATTCCATTTAAGTGAGATGTCCAGAATAGGTAGATCTTTAGAGACAGAAAATAGATTAATGGTCGCCAGGATGGGTGGGGGGAGTGGGGAATGAGGAGTGACTGCTAATGGGTATAGGGTTTCTTTTTGGGGTGATGAAATGTTCTGGAATTTGTGGTGACGATTGTGCAACTTTATGAATATATTAAAAACCACTGAATAGGGGGTGCCCGACTGGCGCAGTCGGAAGAGCGTGTAACTTTTTTTTTTTTAAAGATTTTATTTATTTATTTGAGAGAGAGACAATGAGAGATAGAGAGCACGAGAGGGAAGAGGGTCAGAGGGAGAAG